AACCCTACAAATACTGTCTGCAATATATATATCACATCGGATGCGAGAAAAGTACGTTTTATTTGAAAGAATCAGCTTGAGGTAGTTTTCATCGTGCGACAAGTAGCAGACAGTGATCGAACATATTGAACTTTTCATAATGGTTGTAAAGAAGTGCTCTAAGTGACGGATTCAAATTGAATATTTAGTTTCTGATCTAAACAGGCTCAACAGGCCAAATCTATCATAATCGTCTTCTATCCATATGGTAAGAAGGAAAAAAGTTCAACTATTAGTTGTGTGAAAACTTTCGGCCAGCGAGTTCCATAGGTCAAAAATGATAAAGAAAGGGGAAATACGATTGTACATAACGATTCAATTCGATGACTTCGACCTTCCTCTATCTGAAATAACAGTTTTCAGTTTAGTATTATTGAGATATTCAGTGCAAACAGACGCTAATCATGGAACGCTTAAAATTCCTATTTCGTCGTTCATTATTTTTTTTTTGGTTGATTTGAAGAAATCTTCTCCCGAAGCTTATCAAAAACTTTTAGAAACTTATGGCGATACTGCGCCGAATTGTCGGTTCTGGAACGGTCTGGAAATACGTAAAAGTTGCAAGACAATGAATTGCAAGACTTATTGAATGAGAACCCAGCTGAAAGTCACCAAGAAGTTCCGAATGGCTCAGCAGTTAATGACTCAGCAACCATTTATAAACGTTTACGTGCGGTGGGAAAAATCCAAAAGAGGGGGAATTAACTGAAACCCTTTCAACTTCGCGGTTTCCTGCACCGTGCAGTGTCTGGCGATGAAAAGTGGGTCTACTACGACAATTCCAAGCTCAAAAAGTCATTGATTAGTCCAGGAGAGCCATCCATATCGACACCCAAGAGGAACATTTCATGGCCATAAAGTTTTGCTGTGCAAACGGATCGAATCAGCAAGGTGCACGAGCTGCTAAAACTGAATGGCACTGCCACTGCAAATGTTCACCGACGGCAGTTGACCACATTGAACGATGTGTTCTTGGAAAATGAACCAGCAATAACGGCTAAAAGGAGCAAAATCGTCCTGTTGCATGACAACGCTCGGCCATAGATTACAAGATTTGTCACGGATAGACTGCTGCAGCTCGAATTGGAACTTTCACGACACCCAGTATACTCACTAGATATGGGGCCTTCTGATTACCACTTGTTCAAATTGACGCAGCATGGTTTGGCTAGCACGCGATTCCGGAAAATTGAAGAAGTGCGAAAATGGGTCGATGATTGGACCGCTGGGAAACCAATATTGTTCGGATTACGCGGTATCGACATATTACCAGAAGGGTGGGAAAATGATGGAAAGTATTTTGATTAAAAGCACCTAATATTGCCCATCTTGAACACTTCATGCTCGCCTTTCCCAGTCTTCAAATCACGAAATTGCCAAAATTAATTTTATAAATTATACCCAATTTTTGATACACCATCGCAACGTTTGCTATTAGAGACACGCTTTTAGAAGTCAATTTTAGAAAGTCTTCTAATCGTTTGAAATTTTGCGTAAGCTAAACTGAATCCTCTTTTTATTTATACTCAACACTAGAACTAGACAGCCCATATAGTTAGTATAAAGATTGTATATTTAAAGTTAATTAATTAATTTTTCCCGGATCTCTGACCGTGGTCTGTACACTTCGTCCACGATCGCATAAAGTGAGGCAATAAATTGAAATTCGCATTTAATGGCCGTAGGTCATGTTCAAATTGATTAATGCCTAATCTACTAAGCTAAAAATTTTGACTTCAAGTTCATGACAAATGGTCGCTGAAAAATTATAGAAAATTGAAAATTGTGAAGTAAATATGACGATGGTAGGTGATCCGTAGGCAATACAAGCCCGATCATGGAAGAACATTTAATCTAAGGCAATTGAGTTGGATTGTACAGTTGAACTTTGGATAAATACAATTTTCTTTCACGTTTTGGTAATAGTTTTGCTTACAAATTGTGATCAAAGCATTGGTTGAAGCTATTCGTCAATCTAGTCTAAAAATGTTCTGGGGATCGTAAGAACGCAAGATCTATTAGCGTGTTAAACAAATAGTACAATTTGCATATCATCCGGCGATCCAGGCTAACAATCATTAGTAGTAGCCAGCGGCAATGGTCTTTACGGTAATAAACTATGTCACAAAATATCGGTTTAGTAACAGCTGTTGGTCGATTTCATAATTGCAAATTTACAGGGAATGGAATTTTTTGTATGCACACATATGTGAATACGATGAAATAAAATTCATACACAATGACACATCAGTAACTTTGTATTTCTCTTATAAAGCATTTGTTTGTTTATAGTTAGTTATAAAATAAAAAGTCAAACATACACTAATATATATGCTATACGATTCCCTTACTCGGCTGTAAATGGCGTTTTACCGAATAGATACAGTTATGTTTTCTCTTCACAGCTATATGCATGCAAATGTACACTAATGAATATTTGCATATGCATACAGTCAAATGTGTGTATATATATATATATATATATATACGTGTGCATATATTTGATATGTATGTTTGCGTCAACACAGGCGAAAACATTGTCATTTATTTAATTTGTTGACAGTTTTTAGTGACACTATATACGTTCCCTTGATGTTAGCAAGAAAAAAAAGAAATGATTAATAATTGAAAATGAAATCACAGTGACATCCAAATGAAATAAGACAGTCAGTTGAGAAAATAACATGAACACTCTCTTTAACAATCGCGCACACATATTAATGCATAAAACATATTTAAGCTAATAGAGGTCAAAATGAATTAATCCATTTTATTTGTTTACACACACACACACACACAGATGTTCGAAGAAAATAGATATTTCTTAAACGAAATGAATAAAGAGATTCTATTTATTAAAAAGCAAAGCGAACTATTGCTCGTCATCCCGGAGGATTATGATTATCGGAGCGTGTTAGGTGGGATTTAAAAGCAAAAAAAAAAAAAAAATTACGAAGCATGGAAAATATTTCATGCATATAAAATAAAAGTATGTAATAGTTAAACAAATCGACTTAAAGGCTTACAAAACGATATGCTTTTCGCCTTAAAAGTACTTTGGTAAACGTATTATGCTTTCTCTCTTTAATCATTCTTCGCAATATGGGCATTAAAAAAGGAAAATAAGAAAAAAAAAGAAGGAAAGACTGTGTAACAGACAAATCTCAAATCATCATTATCTATGCATTCTAGGGTCCATTGGGTGAACTACTTAGGCCTCACAATGATATCCTGCCAAGCGGAGTACCCTGCTGATTTATATAAACAATCTCACTAAGTGAACAAAGCACAACAGGGTCGCGAATGAAATTAAAGTAGAAAAGAAATTCCACAATCACATAAAGAATAACATAAATGCATTAAGCATACTTTAGTTAGAGATAGACAGTCTAAGCGAAAATAGAGCAAAACAGTCTCCCAGCGAACATAATTTAACATTTCCTTACATAGTTGTCCACAATTTTATTTATTCCGCGCTGAAATTAAATTTAGTTAGGGTATGTGTGTATGTGTATGTGTATGTGTATGTATGTTTAATGCTTTTATAGGAGTTGCAATCATTTTATAAGACTTTTTAGAGACTATTGGCTTGGTGCTTTTTTATTATGTGTTCGCATTCGTTTAGTCCTCAGCATTCTTCGAATAATATTAAAACAAATAATCTAGCAGTGTCTCCTGCAGTGCACGATATGGTATATATATATATATATATATATATATGGTCTGGCAATCAGGAAAAGGATTCTGGTCTACTATCCTCTTTTTTGTACAATTTTTTTTGTGTCTTCTCTTTCAATTTTTCCTTTTACTTGTATACAAATGTAAATAGAAAATGCTAATGAGTAAGTGTTACTCTTGCATTCAACTCATCCATAAGGGAATGAATGCTTGTTAAACAACATGTTGTACAAAAACAGTAACAACAATGACAATGGCAAGACAAACAGTAACGTACTTAACTTTATATGCATATGTCATGCAATTGCCACTTTAGTTACTATCGCTTACAACGTTACGTACGTATATGTATATCGTCATCATTGCCGTCAGCATCAACATCGTCATCATCGTGTGCATTACACTTGTCATCAGTATGATGGGTGTCATCATCATTATTATTATTTCAATATAGCCGCTGCAAAGCAAGTGTAACATAAATGAAAAAGAAAAAAAAAAAACACAAAAAAAAAAAAACAAATAAAAAAGTTACATTCGGCTGTGGCCGAATCCTGTATACACCCACAACCGTCTTTCGTCTTGAAAAACCTCAAGAAATTGAAAAAAAATAAATAAATAAATAAATAAATAAATAAAATGGAAATCCGATCAATTATCTATATCTTACCGTAGGCGTGACCGATTTTCTCCAATTCTGAGCGCAAATAGTAGAGTCGTCCATAAAATAGTTTTCGAAAATTACATTCTTCTATTTCTTATAATTTATGGGTAATGAGCCAACCAGGGTTGCTTTTGAAGTTTTTGCTCCACTGTGCGCATATCGTCTGGCCGTCCGATGTGATTCATTTTCCACACTCACTTGTATGCAAGAGCTTCTAATGTTTCTGGTTGTTTTCCGATCGGGAGAACGCTAACAACGTATACCACCTAGGCACACAGGCACAGAAAGACATATATATATATTTTCCAGGTTTTCTGAAATTTCCTTTTCGGTGTTGTAAACACTATGACCAAATGAATATACCTCCATCGTTCGGTTGTGGGTATAGAAAAAAAACAAAAACAACCAAACGTTTCCAACAACAGACATTTTTAAGCAACGTGTTACATACATTTAAGAGAAAGTGTACAATTTTTGTCAATTTGTTTTAAAATATTTTATGAAAAAAAATTTGTTCTCTTCTACGGGCATCCATTTAGAGTTTCGTTAGAAATTTTTCCATAAGGACGACAAATCTTTTTTTATTTAATTTTTGTTATTTTTGTTATTTAATATCAAACAGGGCTCATTGCAAAAGTTAAATATTTACGGTAATCCAGACGCTTTATCGACCACATGCAAAGCGCCCGTCAAAGAAAAGGTAAGTTCCCTATGAAGCTAAATGAAAGCATAAATTATTTTAAAAAATTATCCCAAGCCAAATAGATTCGTATGAATGCAAAGGATCTATTACAGGTATCACGGATATGTCTAGTTTATACATAAGTAAACTATGGACCTATAACGTTGAAATACAAAAATATGCATAGAAAGCAACACTCAAATGCGAAAATTTATTGTCCTTGCGTAGCTGCTATCTTTTACAATTTATCTTATCAAGAGTGAGAGAATCGCCGAATGAATCCTTACATGGCTCTCTTAATATATTTACCAAATTTTTTGACTAAACGTCACATAGATTACATACATACATCGCATTAGGAAATGTCTCCTTTAAAATAATTAACGGCATGAAGTCGTATTGCTTCCATTGACAACAAACCTAAGTATGAAATGTCGGTTTCCTATCCAAAGTTTCATGAGTTTAAGGAACCCTATAAACTGCAGGCATGGCTGATTCACGGTCTTCCACCAATCAAGAAGGCATATACTTGTAGTTTTCGTATTATCTGCTGGAAATAGAGTGACGAAATTGGTTCATTAATGATGGGTGAAACGTGTAAGCAATTTTCAACACTACAAGTATAATTTTAAGTGAAGGGATTATAAATAATTAAAAACAACTTTTCCCTGCTTTTAAGTTCTTTTCATTATCAAACAGAAGCAAATACTTGATACCCTTGCGGGCATTTCCGGGCTTGCCAGTTGACCAAGTGATACTTCTCATACTCCATCTAACTATGTACATTCCATGTATCGTTAATAAGACCCATGTGATCCTTATCTGAGACCTTTTAAGTCGCAAATTAGTTTTCATTGAAAAGTTGATAAATGTTGCAAACTTTGCAAGTCATAATCTTATGAAAATTATTGCTTCCCAGTAAACGAGTAAATAAAGATGACATTCTTGTAATAAAATAGTCAACTCGATATTATTTCAATGGCAGTCTCGTCTATAACGAAATATATATTAAGTTGTTCTCTTCATATGAGAATGCTTCAGTTTTCGAACTTTTACAGGCGTAATTATTGGCGGATTACATCCTTTCTTCAAATCTTACTTATAGAATATATATGTATATGTTTCAATTTTTATAATTCTTCTCGAGAATTCCAGGCCGTGGCCAGATAAAGACAAGCGCATTTTTCAATGAATAAAACGCCTCAGGATAACCCATTGAATATGAAACTATATCCAAGTATTCTGATTCGGAGCTCCAATCAATAAATTTGACAAAAGAAACAATTTTTTGTGCGAAACTGGCCGCGGAGTTTTCCAGTTAATTGATCAAAGCATTTGTAATGATTTTTATACCCACTGCAGAGGGAAGTAGTTGCAGTTTGTATTACAAAAACGTTTGCAGCACAGAAACGGAAGATTCAGAAGCCCAGAGGACGCAGCATGTATATATCCCTGATCAGTATCGGATTATGAATCAATCTAGGCATCTTCGTTCTTTGGCAGTCAGTCATATCAGTTTCAAATTTAGCAAAAACCTTGGAGTGTTTTGAATGGATGGCTGATTGATATTGAATGGAGGATAAGTCCGTTAAAGAACATACACGTCTATAGTACAATACTAAAACTATCTCTGGAAAAAAGGAAAAAAAAAAACCAGTCATACTCAGCCACGCTCTATCGAATATTTATATTTTTGTGTGTTTATTTCTCGCCCTGTTGGTTAAGATAGAACTGGCGAGTGTGAACAGTTCGACGGTAGTCAGTCGTACACTTACTCTTCATTCTGTCAGACTGTTGCATATACATTTCCGATTTTATTAGCAAAACCTACGGATGATAGACTTTTATCTCATCTATCATCCGCCTGAGTGGCCAAGGGTGAGGAATCTCGACCAGTATCAGTGACTCAATGGTCGTGGGTTCGAATCTCAAGTTCGGTAGAGTTTTTAATAAAAGCCGATAGCATTAGATGCTAGCGCTTTTAAAAGATTAGTCCTAGAATTTATTTCTCTAAAGCGAGTTAAGCTTCCAAATAAAACACATGATCAACATAAGCATTTCGGGATTTGAAATTATTTAACTTCTCATAATTAAAAAGCACGGAGTTATTTTCATAATATGCATAATTCAATACGAATCGCCGTAGTTCAAAATGTACATCTTCTGACTTTTTCTCTTCCTCTCTCTCTCTCTGTCTCTTTGCAAACATATCGCTACATGACATAGCAAACATTTGCACAAGACAGATCGCATAGACGAAAGAAGTCGCGTAAAATCAATCGCACGAATAAAAAGCGCATAAAAAAGAACACCGCACACAAACCAGTTTATCTGTACAATGTTTCAATGCATCTATTGATGGTGTTACGATTTTGTCGTCCACGAGTATTCTGCTTATTTAAATCCTTTTATAAGCAAGTCATCAAAAGCAAATTTCATTGCGGCATTTTCATGCTAATACCTTTTTGCCGATAAAAATTTTTAGAAAATTTTTGTCAATCTTTCCGCGAGGCGCCAGCTGCGTCGGCAAGTAAACGATCATGGCTTTATAGTTTGATTTTCGCAACAATGTTGCTCAGAACACTGTTCAGTTTTGAACATATCGCTTCCCTTTTCGATTCCCTTAAATTGTCCCTTCATTATTCGAAAAACTGAATTGTTATGTTCGTGAGCAATATGGTTGGGGGTAACTGAAATCCGTTAAATTATGTCTCTTCAAAAGTGATTTCATTGTTGAATAGTGTGCTCGTATTCGTACTCGTATAATCGACTCGCCATGCACACGACAATTGTTTAGAATTTAAAATTTCATTATAAATAATTTCATTAAATTGAATTTAATTCAATTTCAAAATAAAATAATTTATCATAATTTGATAAACTGCTACTGTTATGGTTATGCCACTCGTCCTGCTTCTTTTTTTTTTTTTTTTAGTTTTTGTAATCTAGATTATGAATGAATAAATTGGAATCAATAAATATAAATTGTTAGCAATAATTAACACGCATACACAATTGCATCAAGTTATATATATATATATACGTATATAAATCATTAGGTTTTGCTAATTACCTCCAATTAGCTATTGTTGTACGATACGGTTTCAAGTAAAAACAAATAAGAAAATTAAATTCAATCGGAACCGAATCTTTTACACCCATCACCGTTTCACGCCAAAAAAGACAAGACAAGCAAAAGAACACAATTCTCATACTCTATAACATGGAGTGGGCGCACTTGATTTCTTCTATTTTCAAAATGAAAGTTTTTATCGTATATAGGCATGTGGGCGTTATGGGCGTGTCGTTTGAAAACTTTAAGTCAATTCCAAACTCTTTGCAAATTTGTAGGCGACATCTTAATTTTCGCTACGGAAAACGGGAAAGCGTTTACCACAAACACTACAAAGTTGCGCGAGCACACAGATGGACGGATGAACAGGCGGACACATTTAGGTGCATTCAAGATTTGAAACTGACCAAGAATTTGTGTACTTTATGGGATTTTTGAAGTTTGTTTCTGCGCCCTATTGAAAAAAGAATTTCATTTTGATGCATTACAATAATGGATTGGCATGGTCAATGTGTCCCATTTTTGTGCACAAATGGTACAGCATCGCCCATAGAATACGCGTTGTTTTTTTTTTTGTATCTTTATCTGATTTTGTTTATGAGTAATGAACAAAAATTTTTGATTTATTTTGAAAAACGGGCGTATCCCTAATTCACGTGGTCCTCTAGGCGTGTCCTTCGATCGATTTGGACCATTTTCAACACCAACCTGTAATAAAGAACTTCTAATGTTTTTGCCAAATGTTTTGCGGCCAAGAGAATGTTTAGAGCAGACAATACAAGCAGAGGGACAAGCGGACAGATGGACATACTTAAATCGGTTTAGGATTTGATGCACATCAGGAGTATATATATACTTTGTGCAGTCTCTAATGATTGCTTTTGGGCGTTGCAAACGTTTTGACAAAATGAATATATCCCTCATTCTTCGGTGATGGTTATAATATAAAAAAAAAAAAAAATTATATAAAAATAAATATATATATATATATATATATATATACATCAATGAAGTAAAAAAATATTTTAATGAAGTTATTTTGTAAATTTAATTGCTTCTAAATTAGTTATGTGCACATTTTATGTATGCATTTCTCCTTGTTTTTGTTTTCCTTTTTTCTTTCAATTTTATTAAATGTGATTTAGATATGTGCAAAATTGTTATCTATTATGCAGACTAGATGCCCATAATGCAAAAATGTTTTAGTAAATTCACAGTAGCTTCGATGTTCTTGAGGACATATTTGATTTCTTTTTCCTAGTCAGTCTTTGATGTAATACACCCTTTTATATAAAAATATCAAAAAAAAAAAAAAATAAATAAATAAATAGTAATTGTCGAATAAAGTTTCAGAGACTTCATCAATATCGGACTTAAAGATACGTCCCATTGCGGAAACAAAACGCGTAACCCGACATAATTTTATTGCATTTCTATGCTATTTACTGCTGAGGATGGTCTTAAAGCCCAAAGATACGCGCACCAGCACACGAACAAAAAGAACCTTTGATTCATATTCTAATTCGCATAATGACATTGATGTTCATTTATCCGATTACTGGAACATAGTGACGATAACTCATATTGGGCAAAATCATCCTGTATTTTCCCTGATAACTTTCGTGTAAGTAGCGTTCTTCCTGCTTTACTGAAAGTCGTTGCACGTTTAATAACTAATCTGGCGATGCTTCAAAGCTTACACGATATTCGATTGCGAAGTGTGACAAGGGCGTTCAGAACTTATTGTTTATTGTTGCCTTCGATAGTATTGACCTTTGTTTCAGCTCGTTTCCAATTATATTATATATGTGCGCATTATATATGCACATTCGGTATCAACGTATGGTTGTTGGTAATTTTTCCTCAGAACTTACATTCATTACTACTGGTTTTCGGAAGGCTCCATTTCCGAGCTTATCTTCTTTAACGCACTGGTTGCATGTATACCCAAGTCTAATTTTTATTTACACGGTCATGATACATAAATCAAACTCTTGGGCTCGTGTGCGCTTTGAGGAATGTGATTCACTGAGTAAATGAAGATTTCAATCGTATTACCCTCTATGGAGTGGATTAAACTACGATTCGCATATGGGTAGGCTTCCGCATCTTGTCTGGAAAGCACAGACCGTTTGTAACAGAGAATTCAAATGCCTTCGAGTATCGGCATGAAGTGGGCTATTATTTGTTAATGCATTTTATAAGTACGTCCAGCAGAAATGTTCCATAGATGTAAAAATGAATTTTGTTTTAAGCGAAGCTTTTCTCAGCGTTCTCACCCATTCTTATTCGAGTTGCCCATAATCCATCCGCACAATACACTATCGCAAATTTTTTTTCTTTAACGTTGTTGTACTACCTGCCTTTGGAACAACCTACCTATGCTGGTGTTTCCAATAATGTTGTGGATGTTTCCACTTTCGAGTCAAAACGTACATAAATACTATAATCATTTTCCTTCTCCCTCTACTCATAATCGTTCTTCACCACCATCACGTGCACGTGGAATGACTGTGACCGAGTACTACAAAAAAAAAAAAAAAAAAAAATCAATTTAAAAAGTAAATAGATAAGGAAATCAATTAATTTTTATACCACATTGAGCTTAACTTGGTTGGCGTGGAGAATACAAGTAATAGACGTCCGTTTATTTTCTTTTCTGTTTAATTAATTTACTTTTTATTTGATTTTTGTTTTCATTTCTCTTTTTGTATTTTCAATTTTAGATTTTATCTGATAATTTCTTAGAATCTGGAAGTTCCGGATTGGTATGTATTATATTTTTGTTTATATTACTTTTTTATATATTTTTTATATATTTTTTTATCATTTGATTCGGTGTGTACTCTAAGACCAATTACTATGTCATGGCTTTTGGTCAGAATTTATATATTTTCTTAATGTCAGAACTAAAGTAGATAATGCTTACCTATGCCCTCTTTTGTCCGTATGTCCTTTTCTCTGTTCTTCTCTCTCCGCTTATATTCGCAAACTTGGAGTTGAAAGACCTCCGTTTATTAGATCTCCTTAGACTAAGGATGCGTAAATGCATTAAATTGCTTACAACTTACACCTCAAAAGCAAACGGATAGTTGTTTTATTACGTTACGTGAATACTATTTGCAACATATTGCTCATCGTGTATTTTCATACTCACTACCAAAGGATATGGCGTACTGTGCAAAAAATTAAAATGAAAATTCTTAAAAACACACATACATGCTCTCAAACCATTTTGTATTACCGAGAATATCCGTCTACTCGTACTTCTGCCTCGATGTTCTTCGTTGAATCTAGGAAATCTAGAAAATCGGGAATAAAATAAAAATCGCGCTTATGTACATGATTTATACGTTTGAAGGAATTTGAGAGACGAAACAATGCCACAATTTGTCAATGACAATAGCAAGAGAAAACGTATCGAAAAGAAAATCACTCAATATGTTCAATAACATGTTAGCGACCTTAAGCGAGTATAAACCCAAAGGCCCAACATCTAATAGAACACTAAACGATTTTCACATCGTGAACTCTTCATCAAGCTTATCTCGCAAACTAAATTTGATTTGCAACATATCAATAGTTTTGCCAACCGTCAACGAGGCATATAGCGGCGTCTTACGAATATAACTATTCGGATATATGAAATAATGTTTACATATCCTACAAAAAAAAAAAAAAAAAAAAAACCGATCAGTGCTTAGTCGATTCACTAGTCGATAAGTTCAAATTGTCACGAATATGCGTAATACCTACGATGATGAGTGTCCATGCCAGCCTATGAGCGGTACAATCCTATGACATGGAGACAATTAAATGCTCACGACCATAACTTCTATCGCTTCTATCACTTACATTTATTCATTATGCCTTACATATATATTTTCTCATGTAACGGCTTTTCGGAATAGGGCATTAATGATGAGTGGCCGAAATATTGGTCCGCTACGAACCATTTTCAATAATGTTCATCATTGGGATAGGGACACGTCGTTAAACCAAATTTCATCAAACTATTTCAAAAACCGCGACCGGTAGATTGAGTACAGAAAAAAAAAAAAAAAACATATCGGACAGGAAGACGAGGTTAGAAAATGATTCTGGATCGATCGATAAAATAAGAGATGCGTCCATCTCAAGGTCATTTCAATGGTAAAGGGTATAAAAATGCGAAATGACGAGTGTTGCAAGACGTAAGAAGCCTATTGCAGCGGCGCGCGACCAGTTTCTTTACGATCTAAATTTATCGCTCCTCGGCACCTTTGGTGCGCTCTTAAAACAAATTAACGCAATCGCGCAAAACATATAAACATAATAACTTTATTAGGCTAACATTGCGCCATTCCGAAACATGCGAACAGGTGGCGAAAAATAGATTCACATTGTACTAGATGAGATTGAAGCAAGGGTTCGCTAAATGCAAAATAGACTTCAAATCAACTCAAATAGTCGGTATTCAAGGGGATTCGTCCTAAAATGAATATATTTTTGTTATTTTTGTTTTTCCTTTTTTTATTTTTCTTAATTTAATTTATTTCTCTTCTAGGACTTATTTGAAGATGGTGAAATTATTGATTGGGGAAGTTCTGGAGTGGTATGCTATAAATATTTGATTATTTTTGTTTTTATATTTTGAATTTAATTTTATTTTCGTTAATATGTTTATTTTTCAATTACTTGAATTCATTTATCTAATTTGTTTATTAAATTGCTTATTATTTATTATTTTCCTTTTTCATTTGTTATTGTTGTGAAAGTTGCCACTACTCGAAGATACGGGCGATTTAGCCGATGTAAATTTATGGAATACTGTGAGTAATACAAATCGATAAAAGTTAATGAAACCCTTTGATATTAACTTACTACTAACCTCTTATGAGATCAGAGTTCATGTTCAAAAAATACGAATTGTTTAATATTAAGTTCGATAAATAACATTAGGCTTCGGCTGCTGTTGTTTTCTATTATTATTAAAATTCATCTCTAGCTTAGTAAGAGTTTCTAATAAATCTGATGGCTATAACGATTTAATGATTTTGATCTTAAACACGATTTTTATATGTTGTACTAAGGGCACCTTTTAGCCTACTGTATAAAGTTAAAGCAATATTTACATATTCGGTCTGTCTATCTCACTCCAGTCACCCTGATTTCCGAATTTACACGGAAAAAAATATACGATTTACTTAAACGGATTTTAGCCGGAAGATTTTGAAGGTAGAAAATAAAAAAAAAAACAAAGACTGCCATCGTTATGTTCTCGTAATTGTGATGAGGCTCGACTTAGCCGACTTGCAAATTTGCCTAAAATGCAAAAAATGCATTTTAAGATGAAGCTCTCTTTTGCAGACACAATTATGAGGTAAAAAAAATATTTTCAATGGGCAGATATTTCACAAACTGGCACTTAGATAGAGAAAACCCGCTAAATCGACTCCGCCAGTTGAACTGTTTAAAGGGGTGGTATTCATTTCCACTTTTTCAAGACGCTATACGAATTTGACGAATCTGAAGTGAAAAGAAAAAATGAAGAAGAAGAAGGAAAAGAAGAAGAAGAAGAAGAAGCAGAAGAAGAAAGTAGCAATAGAAGAAGGAAAGAAATGTTATGTATAACTAACCCTCAATAAATTAAAGATGGTGTGCTTTGTGCTTTTGGTTTATCTCTTTCAATATTTAGCATTGAAAAATTGAAAATGACTTCTTTGTTTTTGAAACAATTGCTTTTCGTCGCATATACCCAAGTGTCCAGAAAAAAAAAAAGAGAAAAAAGAAAAAATGCACACAATTTAACTCATGTCAACGACAAAAAGGTTTTTCTGTACACAGAACATACCCATATACGTATACAAAATAGCATAAATACAGAGATATCTACCGAATCGAAGCATACGCTTGCGGTAAGTTGTAGAAGTTGAAAAATTTTATCGAATTTCCATATAATCTCTATGTGTGTCACAGGCTTTTAAATTTGTGCTTCCTGCATCTTTTTTTTTTTTTTTTTTCTTTCTGTTTTGTTCCTTTTGCATACAATATTCTGTTTATGTTGTGAAAAACTAAAATGGATTTTTCCGAAAACAATCTCCCGACTTTCACGTATAAACACGTAAACTAAAAAAAATATATATAGCCAAAAATTTCAGATGACCACTTCAATACATGTTCAATACAAAAATGAAAAAAAAACAAAAAAGAAAAGAAAAACAGAAAACTTTTAAAATATTAAACATCCGTTTCAGTTTTGTGCGCTAAAGAAAGAGAGACACGGAAAGCAAAAAAAAAAAAAAAAAAAGAGAAGGAAATTATGTCAAGTTAAGATGCCTTGTCAAGCGCAGATTCCGCTCAAACACATGTCAATTAGTCTCATTCAGAACGGATAATAAATAGGAAAGAAATAATTTTTTCTAAATCTGGTTCCCTTCTCCCGCTGCAGGAAATATAAATATTGAATATTATTTGAAAAGGTATTTGAAATGCGTACAAAAGTTTCCTTAAGGTCTGTCCATCGTTTCCGTCTACCCAATTTCGCAATTCGTACTTGGAAAGTCCTTGTATACCGACCGTAATATTTTCCTATTTTGATCTCTAAGATATAATAATAAAAATTTCCTTTTTTTTTGTTTGACTTGGCAACTCTTCTGTTTTATCATTTGTTATTGTGCTTGTGCAAGTTTGGATTAAATCATTAATAACTAAACTTTATGTTTACGATTTCTTCCATTCGCTCTTCAATTTTAATCTATTTTCCTTCATTTCATGCGTGAAAACGTAGAAACACTTAATCGGCAACGTAGATAACATAAGTGTATTTTTATCCATCACTAGGATTGTCGCAAGCATATTATACGTATTCATAAATACGCACCCAAAATTTTGATATATACATATACATATACATATATATTGTCAAATTAGTATCTATTCAAAAGTTATTTGTTTTTGAGTGAGCAGGAGTTGCGAGCAAGTTCGATAACAAGTTCAAGATCTATCTGTCAATTGGTTTCTTTACACAATAATTGTTTTTATTACTTAAGAACTTTCCGAGCCAACC